GTATTTGTGGCTCAACGCAACCTCCGGGTCCCAGGTTCAAGTGATTCTCCTACTTTAGCCTCACCAGTAACTGGGATTACACTCGTGGTAGCACGCCCAGCTAATTTTGCATTTTTAGTAGAGATGGGTTTCTCCATGTTGGTCAGGCTGGTCTAGAACCCCTGATCTCAGGTGATCCGCCCGCCTTGGCCTCCCAAAGTGCTGGGATTACAGGTGTGAGCTGCTGCACCCGACTATTAATTACTATTAGCTACAAAGAATTCTGTCACACAGATCACACAGATGTGGTTGGTTCTGTTTGACAAAGTATCTTATGGATAATTCGTTTGACTATGATAACCTGTGTTGAAAAAACAAAGTAGAGATGGGGGTTTCACCATTTGGCTAGGATGATCCTGATCTCTTGACCTCGTAATCCATTCACCTCAGCCTCCCAAAATGCTGGGATTAAAGGCATGAGCCATTGTGCCCAGCCATCATTTTTATGTTTTGAGACAGGGTCTCACTCTGTGACTCAGGCTGGAGTGCAGTGCCATAGTCACGGTTCACTGCAACCTTGACCTTCCACTGAAGGTCTGAAGCTCAAACAAGCCTTCCACTTCAGCCTCTTAAGTTGCTGAGACAACAGGCATGTGCCACTATGCCCAGCTATTTTATTTTATTTTTTTTTTTGGTAGCAGTAGGGTCTCATTATGTTGCTCAGGCTAGTCTCAAACTCCTGGGCTCAAGCCTCCCAACCTCAGCCTCCCAAAGTACTGGGATTACTGACATGAGCCACTATGCCCAATTAATGTGATTTTTAACTTTGACTTTGGAATATAGCCAACACAAATAGCCCCTACATGAAACCCGGCCGTGCCCACACCCTAACTCTCCTCCTCCTGCACACAGTCTATCATCAGTTTGAGTGAGGATCCATTTGTGGGATCCAGACAGATGAAATATTTCCACCAAAAGACTCGTTCCTGAGGTCAGTGAATTAGGGTCCTGTCCCTTAAAAATGTAAACATCCCTGGGAAGGGCAGATGTGTGGGTAAAATCACCTTGCCTTTAACCCTTCCGAATCTGTAGCTCTGTAAACTTTCCTTTATGCATATTGTCCTCAATAGCTCCAAGCCTGAGGTCCCCAAGGCTGCAGAGCTCTGCAGGAGACTGGAAGGGTATGGGCCAGGAAGTCAAGATCGTGAAGACAGTTCTTTCCAGCTTGGATCACTGATGGTCTTAGGTAGTTAAGACTTGGAGGGAATAAAGACTCCAAGTTAGCTCTCAGCAGCCTATGCTGAATGTGACACCAGGGTTTCTTTCCTGTCTCCACTCTGGACTCAGGCAGGTTTCTTCCTGCCTTCCTCTCGGTCCGGTGAACCCGGCTGGATTCCCCTCTGACCTCACCCCACTCCTCCCCTTTTGCTTGAATTCTTTTTTTTTTTTTTTTTAAATTGAGATGGAGTTTTGCTCTTGTTACCCAGACTGGAGTGCAATGGCACGATCTCGGCTCACCGCAACTTCCGCCTCCTGAGTTCAAGCAATTCTCCTGCCTCAGCCTCCCGAGTAGCTGGGACTGCAGGTGCGCACCACCATGCCCAGCTAATTTTTCTATTTTTAGTAGAGACGGGTTTCACCTTGTTGATGTCAGGATGGTCTCCATCTCCTGACCTCGTGATCCACCCACCTCGGCCTCCCAAAGTGCTGGGATTATATCTCAGTTACTGATACCATCAGTTGTTCAGCTGTTAAATGTTAGCGATTTTTGTTCTCTCTCTCACTACACAGCCAAATGATCTGAACTGTTTCCAAGTTCCTTCCCCTCCTCCTCAACCCAGGACTACTGCTTGAGTTTAGGAAACCTCTAGTCTCCAGTCCAACCCCAAGACTGTTGCCAGACGGTCTTTTTGATGGTGATGCTGATTATGTCACTTGTGTCTTTTTTGATGCCCAAATCTTCAGTGTGGCACACAATGACCTTCACAGTCTGGTACCCACTACCTTTAATCTTATTATCCACATCTCTATTCTCCAGCGACCCCAATTTACAAACCTTTGCTAAAGGCCCCAGCAGACCGGCTGCCTCACCTTTGTAGGTGCTATTCCACGTGTCTTTAATGGGGTTTCCAGTCTCAGTTTGGCAAACCCTCATTTATCCTCAAGAGCTAGATCAAATGCTCTGTAACTTGGATTCACTGTTCTTTCCCTTGCATTCCCATTTAATTTTGCATAATTGTCTGTCTTCTCACCTAGACAGGATCTACTTGAGGACAGGGACCTACCCCTTCCCTTAGCATGGTGTCAAAGTCAACAAACACTCAGATGCTTAACATATAATGATAACATTAATTTTTTTTTTTTTTTTTTTTTTTGAGACAGAGTCTTGCTCTGCTGTCAGGCGCCAGCCTGGAGGGCAGTGGCACGATCTCGGCTTACTGCAACCTCCGCCTCCCGGGTTCAAACAATTCTCCTGCCTCAGCCTTCTGGGTAGCTGGGACTACAGGCGCACGCCACCACGCCCAGTTACTTTTTTTGTGTTTTTAGTAGAGACAGGGTTTCACCATGTGGGCCAGGATGGTCTCCATCTCTTGACCTCATGATCCGCCCACTTGGCCTCCCAAAGTGCTGGGATTACAGGCCTGAGCCACCGTGCCCGGCCATAATATAATTTTTTTTTTTTAAAGATGGGGTTTCATCATGTTGGTCAGGCTGGTCTTGAACTCCCAACCTCAGGTGATCCACCCGCCTTGGACTCCAAGCGCTTGGATTACAGGTGTGCGCCACCACGCCTGGCCCCATAATATAGTTTGTTTTTGAGACAGAGTCTCGCTCTGTTGCCCAGGCTGGAGTGCAGTGGCATAATCTCAGCTCACTGCCACCTCCGCTTCCCAGGTTCAAGGGATTCTCCTGCCTCACCCTCCTGAGTAGCTGGGATTAAAGGCACGTGCCACCATGCCTGGCTAATTTTTGTATTTTTAGTAGAGACAGGTTTCACCATGTTGGTCAGGCTGGTCTCAAACTCCTGACCTGGTGATATACCCGCCTTGGCCTCCCAAAGTGCTGGGATTATAGGTATGAACCATCGTGACTGGCCAATATAATTATTATTAATTACTTTGAGACAGGATCTTGCTCTGTCATCCAGGCTGGCGTGCAGTTGGCATGCAGAGCTCACTGCAGCCTCAACCTTCTGGGCTCAAACTATCCTCCTACCTCAGCCTCTTGAGTAGCTGGGACTACAGGTGCAGGCCACCATGATGCCCAGGCTGGTCTCGAACTCCTGGGCTCAAGCAATCCACCCACCTCGGCCTCCCAAAGTGCTGAGAGGTGTGAGCCACTGCGCCCACCATGACTGCTGAATTAAATAGTTGGTACTCAGTGTATACTTCACGTGGTGCTGATACGCTGTTTTGTGTTTTGGTCTTTCTATGTGCATGAGGTGTGACCAATCCTTGATATGACTCATTACTTAACAAGCACACCACAATTCATCTACCCAAATGAGGGCTTCGTCTTCAATGCCTTCTTCATCTTGCAGGACTGGGTGCTTAGCTCAGTGATGCCGTCATTGCTTGAAACACTTTTGGAGTACCTCTCTTGGAAACAGTTTTGGCATTGATAGCAGTTTCCTTTCAATATCTTCCACGGTAGTGATTGTTTTTCATTTATTCAGCATTTATCATGCACTTCCCTATCCCAGGCACCAGGCTGGTTCTAGGTGAAAGATAAGATAAATCAGACATTACTCTGTCTTCAAGGAAGTTTCTGTTTGGCAAGGGAGATAAGATCTGGACAACCACCCAACACAACGCTAAGAGATAATACCCCAGAAGAGGTTGGATTTGAGTTTTGGAAAAAGCCAGAAGTCCTTTAGTTTCAGCCTCCCGGCCACGTGGTTGATGGCACTGCCTGCCAGCACACTGCTCTAAGCCCATTCGTCCTGAGCATCTCCAAACAAGGAGTCCAGCGTGTTTCCAGCACCTCCTGACCCAACGAGAGACTCCTGGGCATGTGTGTCCGAAGCCCAGACTCCCACCGATGGCAATAGTCTTCTATAATACTCCGAGGCCTCCCAGCTAAACTGAGCTCTTTGAAGGCAGGTGCTGAGGGCTGATCCTGATCTTCACAGTATCTGGACTCATAACGCATATTAGATGAATATTCATTCAGTCACTGAGCCCAAAAGGCTCACATGACATGCCACAGGGACTTCAAACCGAGTGCCCTTTCTTCCATGTGGTTTACTCGTAGTGACGGTTTTACAGATGTCCAAGGGGTAGGAGAGAAAAACGGAAAGGGCTAAAGGCAGGGAGGGAGAGCGAGGGGGCACTGACGGCGGATCTGGGAATGGAGCCCGCGAGTTCCTGCTTCCTGGTTCCCTGGAGCAAGTGTCCTTTGGTGGGAGCCGCAGGGAAGGGAGCAGCCCTTCCTGCGCGCCGGGCGCCCGCCCCTTCCCCGGCCTCCCAGGGACTCGTGAGGAGGGACGCCGGGTGGCAGGGCTGGAGGCCGGGCCCAGTCCACCGCCGGGACAGCCCCACCCCAGCGAAGAGGAAGGCTCCCGGCTCTTGGGAGAGTCCCCGCCCCGCCAGAAGTGGAGGACCCGGGGCGCGCGACGAGCAGGCGAAGAGTTGGAGCAGGGAGATCGAAGGGCGCGTGGGGTCCGCGGCCGAGGTCCAGGTGGAGGGGGTCCCCGCGGTCCCTCGGCCCCCTCCCCCGCCGCCTGCCCCGGCCCGCCCCGGCCCCGCCCCGCCCCGGCGGCCCTGCCCCTCGCCCGCCCGCGCGCGGCGCAGTCTCCTCCCCGAGGTGCCGGTGGCCGGGCCGCCACTCCCTCCGGCTCCCTCCCTCCCGCCGCGGCGCGCATCTCATTCCAGCCCTCATTCCGCGCATTCCAGCGTCCTCCTAGCACTCAGGAGTCCAGGGGGCGGGAGGACCGCAGCTCCGACGCCGCCGCGTCCCGCCAGGTGAGAGGCGCCCGCGTCCGCCGCACCCGCCGCCTCCTTCCCGGGCCGCGCGCCCCACGCCGCCGCCGACCGCTCGTGCCGCATGCTCCGCTGCTCTTTTCTCTCCGTCGCCCGCGTTCCCGCCTCGGATTTGCGCGCCTCGTCCCGACTTTAGGCTTCCCTCCGCGCTCCGGCGCTGCTCGCGGCCCCTCTCACGCTTCCCTCCGTCCGCCCCGCGCTCCCTTCCTCGCTCCCGGTTGACTCACTCCTCCAGGAATAGGGATCCCCGTGTTTTCCCGTCAGTCCCATTCTGGGAAAACTCCTCCCTCCGCGCGCTCCGCTCCACTGGGCGCACCGGGGCCGGTCGGCGTGGGGTGGGCTTGGCCCCGCGACCCCGCCTTCCCTGCGTCGCCCGTCGGCCCCGGCCGGAGCCCGGCTCTGCGCGCTGACGCCCTGCAGTCCCCGCACTGCGATCGCCGCGGCCGGAAGAGTTGGCGCTCGGAGCGTACTCCTGGGAACTGGCTTAGCGCACCCACCCCACTTCCCGCACCCTGGGACCGGTAAGGCTGGGGAGCTGAGACTTGGTGGGACTTTGCCGGAGGGCAGGAGTTTGCTTCATGCGTGCAGAGCTCCCTCCTGGGACTAGACTGGGAAGAGAGAGAGCGAGGCACGTGGAGGCGAAGCAGCTTCAGGGGCGGGTAAGTGGGGTGGACACGCGGGACTTTGGGGGAATTGGAGGCCTGTGTGGAAAGGACCGGAGAGGCAGAGCCGAGGGCATCGGCGACCCGAGAGACCCAGCACTCTTGCCCCTTTTCTGCTGGGCCCTTTTCGAGCCTGGAAGGGAGAGAGCTGGAGGTAGGCAGACTGTATTTCAAGTGCAGAGGCGATGTGAAAGTGGGGGGACCCCTGCAAAGGGTCCTACACCCCAGGGCTTGAGAAGCTGCTGTGTCCCCTGATGGGGACCAGTGGACCGATCCAGGGAGCAAAACTTCCAAACCCCAAAGTGAATTATTTCCCCCGCGGTACTCAGGCACAGGAGACCCGGGTGAACTGACTACATCTGTGCTGAGTCTGTGTGACACCTGACTGCGAGTCTCCCTCGCTTTGGGTCTCTGTGAGGGTGATATCTGTTCACATGTGACTCACCTTGGCTTCCAGTGGGCGTATTTGTTTGTGTTGAAGGTGAGTGACAGAGTGTGTGTATCTGTCTGCTTGAGAAGGGGGCTCTGTCTGAAAGTGCATCTCTGAGTAGGTGTGTGATGCCATGTCTCAAGTAAGTGTTTCTCTTCGGGGATGTTGCTTCTGGCTAGGACTCTTCCTCCTCCCGACATAGCTGTGGGCAAGATTCGGTGTCTCTGGTTGCATGAGTTACAGAGATAATTTGACGGTGGTTTTGGAGTGTGTGGCCCCCAGGCTCGTTTCCTCTGACTGGGCAGAGCTGGAAGGAAGTGGTCTCCACCTGCCACTTGCAGCCAGGAGGATTTCTCAGGGCGAGGGTCTTGTGCTTGCCTGGAATAGTTCAGAGAGCAAGCTGGAGGCCGAAGGAAGTTGAGATCTTTGCCTATGGGGGATCGGATGGGTGGGTGAGATTTGGGAAGGTTTGTGGGGGTGGATCCCCCAGGAAGAGGAGACAGTTTTGAATCTGGAGACTTGTGTAAATAGTGCTTTTAAGTTGGCCCCGAGGACAGATAGGGAGGTATACCAGCCTCAACTACTTTCTCTTGGTTTACCTCTCCTTGGAACTGACCAGGTAACCAGGTGGAAGAATCCCTCATTCTTTTCAACGTGCTAGACCCTCCCCACTTCCTCCTGGGCAGAGGAATGAGTAGCTTGTATGAGGGCTTCAACGTGGATGTAATGCTTGGAAGGAAGGAGCCGGAAACCATCTCGGGAGTTGAGGATTCTTGTCCTTGCTCTTGCCTCCATCCTGAGGATGTGGATGTTCTGGTGGGAAACACCTCACCCTCTCACCTGTTTAGGCCAGGTGTGCTATACTGCTCTAAAAGCAGCACCGAGGGTTTGGTGTCAGGCAGACCAGGGTACAAATCCTGAGTCTCCCACTACCTTTAAGGCTGTCGGGCTGTTTCCTGATAGGTAATGTGGGGGGAAGTTTTCTGTCCAGAAAGTTTCTTGTGAAAAGTCAATGTTTGCAAAGCCCCCACCAGTAGCACAGTGCCTGGCACATCCTGTGGACTCCACCAGCTAGCTGTCGTATCCAGTGTTTCCTAAGCTTCTTTCAGTAAGAAGCTCTTTTTTTCCCAGGAATTAGTGTTTTTCTGAGCACTGCTTGAGAAACTGTGCTCTGTCTATCATGTTTATTTAGCAAATATGAACCGAGCATTTACTATGGGCCAGCCCCTACCATGTTCTGCGTCCTTAGGAACCCAGGGTCCTAGTAGCCCAGGTTAGGAGGGAAGGGGATAGACAGGGCTTTGTCGCTAGAGACCAGAGTCCCAACTTCTATTTTCCGATGCCAGTTTTGCCTTGCCCCCAGGGGGAGCTTGCCAAACATTATTAGATACTCTAATGTCAGCATCTAAGTCCCCCATTTTGTTTTATTTTATTTTACTTTTATTTTTGAGAAAGAGTCGCACTCTGTCACACAGGCTGGATGGAGTACCGTAGCATGATCTTGGATCACTGCAACCTCCACCTCCTGGGTTCAAGTGATTCTCCTGCCTCGGCCTCCTGAGTAGCTGGAATTACAGGCATGCGCCACCCTGGCTGGCTGGTTTTTTGTATTTTTTGTAGAGCCGGGATTTCGCCATGTTTGCCATGCTGGTCTTGAACTCTTGACCTCAGGTGATCCACCTCGGCCTCCTAAAGTGCTGGAATTACAGGTGTGAGCCACTGCATCTGGCCTAAGTCTCACATTTTAAAGATAGGGAAACTGGTGCCCCTAGAGGGACAATAACTTGCTTAATGCCGCAACACCGGTGAGTGGCAGAGCGGGGATTAGAACCTATGCTCTCCCCTTGGTGTTCTGCTCCTGCCCTGTGGACACCCCCTACCCCCCCGCAGCCGCCTTTATCCAACAGGCGCGGAGCCTGGAGTAGACTGACTTAGGCCATGCCTCGTGGCTCAGTTATGGTTGTTAGGAGGCAGGAATACTCGGCTTGTCCTGGTAGAAAGCACACAGCGGTTATGGGGAAAGAGCCATGTCGCTGTGGAATCTGCGAACGGGGTCTAGAAGGGCCTTGGGTCTTTTAAAACACACTCTCCTCACCCCTGGATGGGCCGCCAGGTGAAGGTTATCTTTTTAGATCTCTTGGGTTGCAAATGTCACAACCTCCTTTAATTTCCACTCTGGAGTCTTGCCCTGGTGACTGTCACAAAGCAATGCTTGTTGCCAAACCTGTGGCTCCTCCTCCTCCTTCTCAGTGGACATGGAGGATGTTGGTCCCCAGCCTTGGTCCTTGCCTTTCCTGCAGTTGAGCTCAGTCCAGTGGCAGTTGGAAATTCAGGGCTGGTGAGGGTGTCTTTACTTTGCCTGTCTTCCTTTGCCCCCATGACCCTTTGTTGGCAGGGGTTGGACTACAGCTCCCTTTAAAGCTCTGAAATTGGAGCTGAACAGCTGCTCTCCAGTAAGAGGGGGGAGGGGGCTGTCAGCAGCCAGGGGGGCCCAGGTGGAGGTGGGGGCAGGGCTTTGTCACTGGGAGCCCACAGTCTCCAGCTCCTATCTTCTGATTCCGGTTTTGCCTGGATCCCTTCTGAAATGACAGTTCTTCCCTTGCTTTTGGTTTTGGGAGATTCTAATCACACCTGTGTGATCTGGCCCTGAGGCCTTTAGCTGGAAGGGACTGGATCTTCCGGGAAAATTTCCACTAGAACGCAGGTCTCCAAGATCTATGCCCATGTCCTCCTCCATTTAATACAGGGGGACTCCTGGAAGCGCCAGAGGATGGGCCAGGCTCCCTGTAGTGGGGGCCCACTCCTTGGCTTGGCGTGGTCAGGCGGGCCCCCATGGGTGGGGACTCTGCTTCCTTTGACCCAAACTTCATGGGAACAATAGACTTCAGAGGAGTCACCAGGGACAGGAAATGGGAGCTGTGCTGAGGCAGGGGTGACCCTCCTGGGGGATGGGATTGCATATCCGGTAGAGGGTTGGGGGCAGTGCAGAGGGCCCTGGGGAGGGGCTGATGACACATAGGGTGGGCCCCTGGGGTGGAGCCCCTCTCCAAAGGGGGCTGTTGACTCAGCGTGAAGCTGGAGCTCAGTGCCAGTTCTGTACTAAGCTTTCGGCCCTGTGTCTTACTACACAAGTCTTGTGTCTGCCAGCCTCTGCTCCTGTCACATTTACCCCTGCCAGAACCTGGTCTTCCCCTTCCCCTCAAGCTCCTGAGATGTCTCTGTGAATCATCCTGGCTGGGACAAAAGGCTGGTGGTGTTGCTCCCTGGCTGCTCTCCACCTTGGCAGTGAGCCTTGGGCAATTGTGGCTGGAACGGCGATGTTGGGTTGTGGGCAGAGCTCTGGATAGGGAGTCCCCAGGCCGGGTCGCCAGACAACATGAGGGATTTCTTTAGCCACAGGCAGAGCGAGACAGCGGGTGGAACGTTCTGGAGACAGAGGACTCTTATCTTGCCTCCATCTCTGTAAGGGTCGACCAGACTTTTTGTGAGGAGGCCACAGCTTGCCTTGGGAGAATTGTGAGTCAGACCACACAAGCTGCTTTTCCCGAGTTCATCTTGCCGGATTCTCACAGATAGGCTTTGGGGTCCCGAGAGAAGCTGTGGGAGTTACCCCAGAACCACTGCCAGAACCTGGAAGGAGGGTAGGAGTAGGAGAGATAACGCATGCTGTCTTGATTTATTTCTTCAGGGGAGCAAGATGGGGACCCTGGAAATGGCAGACTCAGAGTTGATTCCTTGTCCACTTCTAGGTCAGATTTTGTTTTTTAATGATTTTTTTCTTTCTTTTGAGACAGAGTCTCACTTTGTCACCCAGGCTGGAGTTCAGTGGTGCAATCATGGCTTACTGCAGTCTTGAACTCCTGGGCTAAGCAATCCTCATTGCCTTAACCTGAGTAGCTGGGACTACAGGTATGCGCCACCGCACTTGGCTAATTTCTAAAGTTGTCTGTAGGGATATGGTCTCACTTTTTTTCTTTTTGACTTTGTTGTCCAGGCTGGCCTCAAACTCCTGGGCTCAAGTAATCCTCCCACCTTGGCCTCCCAAAGTGCTGGAATTACAGGTATGAGCCACCATGCCCAGCTAATTAAAAATTTTCTAGTAGCCACTTAAAAAAAAAAAGTGAAGTTAATGTTAGTGTTTTCTTATACTCAATATATCAAAAATAATTTTGAGAGTGTAATAAAGTTTTTAAGATTATAATTATAATAATTATTATCATTGACAGGGTCTTGCTCTGTCATCCAGGCCGGAGTGCAGTGAAGCAGTCACAGCTCACGCAGCCTTGACCTCCCGGGATCAAGCAGTCCTCCCACTTCAGCCTCCTCAGTAGCTGTGACTGCAGGTGTACGCCATTGCACTCAGCCTAGGTTAGAGTTTTGAACAATCTGTGGAGAGTGTGAAAATGAAGTTGAGATGCCTAGTAGCCAACATGGGTTCACTCTACCAAGTCTCGGAGAAAAAAACCTAATTGGAGTAGAGAAATGTTCAGTAAGACTTTTCCGTCTAATGACCTTCTTGGTACAAGAGAAAGCAGCGTGGTCTGGCTGGTACATCAGGGAGATGGATGTGGGACTGCTTGATCCACTACCCTGGATACTGACTCCTGAGCCTGTTACTTTGAGGAGGTCCTGTGATGTGCCACGGGGCTCTCTTTGGCTTAGTCCTCTATGTTCTCCATAGACATGAGCCTCTCCCAGGAGCCCATGTCTTCTATTTCTCATTTTTTTTTTAGACAGAGTCTTGGGCTGTCGCCAGGCTGTAATGCAATGGCGCTATTTTGGCTCACTGCAACCTCTGCCTTCTGGGTTTAAGCGATTCTCGTGCCTCAGCCTCCCGAGTAGCTGGAATTACAGGCACATGCTACCACACCCAGCTAATTTTTTGTATTTTTAGTAGAGACGGGGTTTCGCCATGTTGGCCAGGATGGTCTTGATCTCTGGACCTTGTGATCCACCTGCCTTGGCCTCCCAAAGTACTGGGATTACAGGCGTGAGCCACTGCACCTGGCCCTGTTTCTCATTTCTATGAGGACTGAGGATAGCAAACATTTGCTGATAGAACCAGGGTTCATAATCATCTCAGTTGATTGGAATGCTGCCATTAAGTAGAAAGATGAAGTTTAAAAACGTCTCTTAAAATTAATACATGTACATTGCAGAAAGCCTGGAAAAGAAAGAAAGCCATAAAGGCAAAAACAAAATGATCCATAATACTACAATTCGGGCGGGTTGGTATTTGGGTGAATGTCCTTCCATCGTGTTCCTGTAAGTCTGTATATTTTAACATAATTACAATTGTATTCTATCCTGTTTTTTCCCTATTGAATGCTGTCTAGTGGATAATAGTGCATGTCGTAAACATTATTTAAAACCATAATTTTAAGGATCCAAGTAACATTTGATTTTATGACTTTATTTAACTGTTTCCTACTGAGTTTAACAAATGGTTTTTAGTTTTTGGCATTTAAAATTATCTGGCCTGGTGCAGCGGCTTATGCCTGCGATCCCAGCACTTTGAGAGGTCGAGGTGGGTGAATCACAAGGTCAGGAGTTTGAGACCAGCCTGGTCAATATGGTGAAACCCCATCTCTATTAAATATACAAAAAATTAGCCTGGCATGGTGATGCATGCCTGTAATCCCACCCACTCTGGAGGCCGAGGCAGTAGAATTGCTTGAACCCAGGAGGCAGAGGTTGCAGTGAGCTGAGATTGCGCCACTGCACTCCAGCCTAGGGGAGCAGAGCAAGACTCTGTCTCAAAATAAATAAATAAATAAACATTACTTGACATGGGGCAATGTTGAACATGTACTTATCTCAAGAGGAAGTCTAATAGGTCTAAGTGTAAAATCCTGCATTTAAGTTCAAAATCAATTACATCAATTCTGTAAGTTTAGAATAGAGTGGGACTTATTATTAACTCACGTTGGGGGAAAGGACTTGGGTTTTTGGCTGAAGAAGGAAGGGAGAGGGAAATGAACATTTTAGTGCCTAGTGAGTGCTAGACCATTATTCTAAACATTTCTGCCTGCATCATCTCATTTCATCCGCTTAGCCCTGTGAGAAAGGGGTGGTTGTTTATTTTGGTTTTTAACCTTGACTTCACAGAGGGGACACTGCAGAAGTTACATGGCAGTTGGAGTTTGTACCCAGGTCAATCTGACTCTTAAACTGCCCCATTAAACTCTGAGCCTGTGTGGGCCAGTGCTGTGGTAAGGTCTGTGTCAAGGGAAATCCTTTATTTATTTATTATTGTTATTTTTTTTAAAGGCGGGGTTTCACCATATCGGTCAGGCTGCTCTTGAGCTCCTGACCTCAGGTGATCCACCTGTCTCAGCCTCCCAAAGTGCAAGGATTACAGGCATGAGCCACCGCGCCCGGCGTCAAGGGAAATCTTAACCCACTAAGCTGTGTGACACTCTTGCCACATTGGAAGCCACATCTGGTTTTGGAACGTTTATACATCCTGAGCTATTAAGTATTGAGCTTGCCATTTTTTGTGGGTCTTCGCCTGCCCCACTTCCGCCCCAGTGATGTGATCTCAAACATGTGGGTCTTTTTTTTTTTTTTTTGAGACAGGGTCTTGCTCTGTCACCCAGGCTGGAGTCCAGTGTTGCAATCATAGCTTACTGTGGCCTCGACCTCCTGGGTCCAAGCCACCTTAGCTTCTCAGCTACTCAGGTCTCAGCAGCTGGGACCACAGGCGCACGCCATGCTTCCTAACATTTTTTAAATTTTTTTATTTTTTGTAGGGACGGGATCTTGCTGTTTCCCAGGCTGGTGTTTATTGTTTATTTGTTTGTTTTTGGTTTTAAGAGACAGGATCTTGCTCTGTTGCCCAGGCTGGAGTGCAGTCGTGTGATCAGAGCTTACTGTATCCTTAAACTCCTGGGCTCAAGTAGTCACCCACTTCAGTCTCCCAAATAGCTGGGAAGACAGGTGTTTGCCACCATGCCCAGCTAATTTTTAAAACTTTAGAGACAAGGTCTTGCTGTCTTGTCCAGGCTGGTCTTAAACTCCTCGCCTCAAGCGATTCTCCAGCTTCAGCCCTGCAAAGTGCTGGGATTACAGGCATGAGCCACCATGCTTGGCCTGTGCGTGCCTTAGCAAAGGCTGGATGAGGACCTACAACCTGCCCAAAATCTGGTGCTGTCATTTCTCGCTTCTAGAAGGGTCGGCATCCTTTGCAGCAATAGCAGATTAGGTCCAACTGATTCAAAGTCTTACTTCCTTATGTAGAACCACATAAAACTACATTTGGCCCTCTATCTGTGGGTTCCACATTCATGGATTCGACCAACCCTGGATGGACAGTGTTCAGGGGAAAAAATTCTACAGAGTTCCAAAAAGCAAAACTTGAATTTGCTGCTTACTGAATGCTGCATTGAGTCCATGCAAGGGAAGTGACGTGCATGCGTGCGTTAGGTATAGGATGCAATCTAGAGATCATCTAAAGCACAGCGGAGGACGTGCGTAAGTTACATGCAAACACTATACCATTTGATATGAGGGACTTGAGCATGCTCAGATTTTAGTATCCTTAGGGGCCTTGGAACCAATCCCCCACGGATACCAAAGGACCACGGTACCTAGAGTTTCGTTATTTAGAACTTGTTAGGGATGCTTGGAGGAGTCTCTGCACTGCATGAGAAATTGGACTAGGTCACCTCCAGAGCCACTGCTTCCTCGAAGATTTTGTGGTCCCGGGCCTCAGTTTCTCCACATATGAGTATTGCAGGGGTTGCACTAGATGATGTGTGAAAGATTTTCCCACCTGGACACTTTGGGATTCTTGCTGCGGGGAGGTAGAGCTACACCTGGTGCTGGAGGCAAGGCTTGGGAGGCGGTGCAGTGTCTGAGTCAGAGGAAGCATAATGGGGAGATGAGGGAATCACTGCATGGCTGCCATCATCTTTGTCCAAGTGAGCACGGTGTTAGAACAGGTGGAATCTGGGTCCTGCCCTGAGACTGGGGCGTGGGGAAGATGACCCCTGACAACCCCAGAAAGTAGTGGCTGTCAGTAGACTCCAGAGTGGTGCTGTCTGATAGGAATATAATGCAAGCCTAGGAGCTACATTTAAAAAGTAAAAAGAGCCGGGCACGGTGGCTCACGCCTGTAATCCCAGCACTTTGGGAGGCCGAGGTGGGTGGATCACAAGGTCAAGAGATCGAGACCATCCTGGTCAACATGGTGAAACCTCATCTCTACTAAAAATACAAAAAATTAGCTGGGCATGGTGGTGTGTGCCTGTAATCCCAGCTACTCGGGAGGCTGAGGCAGGAGAATTGCCTGAACCCAGGAGGCGGAGGTTGCGGTGAGCCGAGATCGCGCCATTGCACTCCAGCCTGGTAACAAGAGCGAAACTCTGTCTCAAAAAAAAAAAGTAGAAAGAGCTAGACTTTTGCCTATGGTGGTCCCAGTTACTCAGGAGGCTGAGGCGGGAGAATTGCTTGGGCCCATGAGTTTGAGACCAGCCTGGGCAACATAGCAAGAACGCTGTCTCCAGAAAAAAAGAAAGGAAAAATCAACTGGTAAAATGCACTGTGATAATACATTATTTAACCTATGTCTGCAATATTATCATTTTAACATGTAGTCAATAGTGAAAAGTATCAATGAGATAGTTTACCTTTTTTCACACAAGGCATTAGAACTCTAGTGCCTATTGTACACTTAACAGCACATCTAACCACGTTTCTTGTGTTCGGTAGCCACGTGGGGCTAGTGGCCGTGGTTGGGACAGTGTGGCTTTCCAGCCAGCCTGCCTGGGTTTGAATCTCTGTTCTGCCACTTAACACCTGAGTGACCTTAGTCAGGTTATCTCACTGCAGTGTGTGTCAGTCGGTTTCCGCCTCTGCAAAACAGGGAAAATACTGTTAGGAGAACCAAGCTCATATGGTTTATGTGAAGACTAAATGAGCTGATATTTGTAGAAATGCTTAGTTCTTTCCCTGGCACATCATAACCACTGTGTAAGTGTTTGTCAAATAAATGACCTGTAAATGCTGCTTAAGAACTGTCGAAGCTGGAATTTGTAAGAGGGAGGGGTCGATGATACGTGTGGAAAAACCCAATCGTAGAGTGGCCCTGTGGAGTTACCGGTAGTCTATGCCTGTACTGGGCTGGTTCTCCATAGTGAATGGACTTCAGATCAGAAGATCCTAATCTGCTCTGCTATAAAGAGTGCCTGCCTTCTGGAAGTGAGAAATGACAGCATCCTGATGACAAGACAGGTTCCCATCCCTCAGCGTCCTGAGCGTCCGTCTGCCTGGGGCTTGGAACTGTGCTGGGTGGCATGCAGGAAGCAAAAGCATCCTCAGAAATGCTCCGTCATAAATAACATGACCTCATGTTGGAATGAGAGGTG